TGAAATTGTTTATCCTTTAGGACTTTGAAGATAGGGCTCCAAGCTCTCCTAGCCTGCAGGGTTTCTGCAGATAAATCTGCTGCTATTCTGATTGGTCTTCCATGGTAGGTGATCTGGCCTTTTTCTCTTGCTGCCTTTAGGATTTTTTCTTTTGTGCCTACTTTATTTAGGTGAATTATTATGTGTCTAGGAGTTGGTCTTCTCATTTGTTGTCTTGCGGGGGTTCTCTGAATCTCTTGTGTTTGAATTTTTGTATCACTGATTAGATAAGGGAAGTTTTCTTGAATGATCTCATGGAAAGTTTGTTCCAATGTGGTCTCTGTTTCTCTTTCTGCCTCAGGGAGTCCGATTATTCTTAAGTTAGGCCTCTTGAGGTAGTCACTCATCTCTTGAAGGTTTTGTTCTGTCTTTTTGAGCTTATTTTCTGTGTTTTTAAGAGTTTGGGTTATTTCTATATTTTGGTCCTCAAACTCTGAGATTCTTTCTTCTGCTTGGGTAATTCTGCTTTCCATGCTTATCAATTTGTTATTTATTTCATTCACAGTATTCTTTATTACTGTTATCTCAGATATCAGCACCTTCCTAGTTTCTTCTTGTGTCTCCTCAATTCTTTTTAATCTCTCCATTATTGTTTTGATATCTACATTTGCAGTTTGAGACCCTTCATTCTGGGGACTTTTCATTGTTTGCATTCCAAAGTCAGTTTTCTCAGTGTCTGCTCTCCCAGGCGTCTGGGAGAGACCCATACTCTTCTTTTGGTTTTTCTTCATTTCTGTAGATTTTTCTCCCTCTCCCCCTTTCCCTCCCCCTCTTCAATTCTGTTTTTGAGGGAAGGTGGAGTTGCTTTTATTTCTCTTTTGCAATGACCTGTTATTCCTTTTGAGGGTCTTCTGGCTTTGTTCACTTTTCCCTCTGCTTTACAGTCTGTCTATTCAGCAGTATGCTGTCTTGGTCCGTTCAGAGAATCTCACCAGTTCACCTATGCCGTCGCCATCTTGCCCCGTCTCCAACAAAGACTCTACCCGAAGCGTCCCCTATTTAATGGATGAAATAATCTTTTTTTTTTTTTTGAGTTGGAGTCTCACTCTGTTGCCCAGACTGGAGTGCAGTGGCCGCTTCTGGCCACCGCAGCCTCGACCTCCATCATCTTTTCTATATCTCTGTCTGTCTTTGTTCCTTGTATAAGTAAAATATACTTTTTTTTTTCCAGTTTTGAGATTTTACTGTTTTGGAAAATAAATTTAAAACTAAGAAAGGTCATGAAAAAAATTAAGATTTCTAGCACAGAAAATACAGTTGTTACTGAACAGAAACTTACTTTTTATTACCACAAAGTTCCAGGATATGAAATTCGTCACCAGAATTCCTAGGTATTTTGCCAAGAGTGCTATTTTAATGTAAGTACCATAATGGGGACTATAATGAAGAGAAAAAAATGAAATTAGTGATGTTCTCCATTTTCTTACACTGTAGATAATACCCTAAGATCTTTGAAGTAGATAGCCAGAAGAAAGAAATTCATTCTGTCAAAGATAAACAACTGGACACTAAAGTGGTAAGGACAGATTTTAATCAGTAATGTTCTATTGCAATAGCAAAAAGAGTCCAGCATGAATGGCACTTAACTTTGATTTGTATAGAGGTTACTGGGCATTTTAAAGGGAGAATGAGGAAATAGGAAGACAGTGAGCCAGCCCAGAGTTAGGAAGGTGAAGAGTTCCAGACATCAGGAAGGAAGATGGTCCATGTGCAACCTGTCTGGGCTTGCAAGCTGGTACTCATCGAAGTTATACTGCTACCCTCTCACAGAGGCTGGGAGACAGGGTCCCTATCTTCAGATGCTGACTGGAACAAGCAGTAAATTATTTTGGCACCTCAAGTTTTCTCAGGCAGACAAAGACAACCTGGAGATGCGACCTTGAGCTGTTAGAAACAATGTTACTGTTTTGTTAAATCCTGTGTAGGTCAATGTGAGGCCTAATTAAGAAGATCTAGAGGAGCCTGGCTAGAGTTTGGTCAAGAAGAGAGTCTTTGTCCTGGGAAATTCATATGGATCCACTCCTGTCATTTCTCTTCTTAGCAACTTTTCATGACTTCCCATTACACATATGATTAAATTCATCCTTCTTCCAGGGCTCGTGCACCATGCTTCCTGCTTGCTCACTGTGTTCCAGCAATGCTGGGTTTCTTTCATCCCTCCCTCTGTACATGCTGTCTCTCTGCCTGGAGTGTTTTCCTGCATTCCTTGCTTGACCAGATCTTAGTATGACTGGGCTCCTGTTACTTCTTCAGAGACACCTTCCCTAATTTACCGTCTAACATAGGTCCTTAGTTTTTTTCATCCCCTCCCCTGTGCTTCTTTAGTTGATAAAGTTACATCACAACTTGGAAATGCTGGTATTTGATTTATTCTCTACCTACTCTTTTTTTTTCCCTCCTGCCTGCACCAGAATATAATGCTGGATCTTGTTTGCCATCAAATGCCCATCACCTAGCATAGGACTTGACACATTTTAAGTGTTCAGCAAATAGTTCTTGAATGAATGGAGATCCTTCAGAGAAACATTTGTGTGAGATAAAACAAATAATTTGCAGATTTTATTGACAAAACATCATAAATATTAACATGCTAAATTGATTAATAACTTGTATTGACTAATCTGCCAGCTATAATTTCTTTCTTTTCATTTTTTTGTGGTAGAATATACATATAACATAAATTTACCATTTTAAGCACCTTTTAATATACAGTTCAGAGGCATTATGTATGTTCATATTGTTGTGTAGTTGTCACCGCTGTTCATCTTCAAAACTTTTTCATTTTCTCATACTGAAATTCAGTATCCGTTAAACAAAATTCCCCATTCCACCTTCCACCCAGCTCCTGGAAACCACCATTCTACTTTCCATCTCTGAAATTCACTACTCAAGGTACCTCTTAAAAGTAAAATCATATAGTATTTTTTCTGTGACTGGCTTATTTCACTTAGCATAATGCTTAAGGATCATCCATGTTGAAACATATGTCAGAATTTTCTTCCTTTTTTAGGCTGAGTAATATTTCTTTATACACACACACACACACACACACACACACACACACACACACACACACACACACACACACACACAGTATTTTGTTTATTCATGCCTGGATGGACCCTTGGATTTCTTTTACCTTTTGACTGTTGTGAATAATGCTGCTATGAACATGGGTGTACAAATATCTATCTGAGTCCCTGCTTTTGGTTTTTTGTGTGTATACCAAGAAGTAAAATTGCTGGATCGTATGGTAATTTTATTTTAATTTTTTGAGGATCAACCATATTGTATTCTACAGCGGCTGCACCATTTTATATTCCCACTAGCAGGTGCACAAAGGTTCTAATTTCTCCACACCCTAGCCAACACTTGTTATTTTCTGCTTTTTGTTTATTTCACTAGTAGCCATCCTAATTGGTGTGGTATCTAATTGTGGTTTTGATTTGCATTTCCCTGATGACCAATGACATTGAGCATCTATTCATGTTTTTATTGTCCATTTATGTATCTCCTTTGGAGAAATGTCTATTCAAGTCCCTTGCCTATTTTTAAATCGGATTGTTATTTTGTTGTTGAACATCTAAATGTTTTATGTAGGGAAGCATACAAAATGTTTAAAACATGTCTTCTTTCTTACTATTAGTGGTGTAAAGTATAATTTACTAGCTCATACTACCTTAACCTTGGAAAGTGCTGAGGATAGCTTCAAGACTCATAATCTGTCTATTAATGGAAATGGTGAGTACATTATATATTTTACTTATTACATATATTATGCCTATACATCGGTGGTGGCAGTGATAACTTCTCGTTGTAATATGTTCCCCTGAAGTGGACATTGGCTTAAGTGATGTAGGCGTGAGGGTTCTTTCAAATATGTGTATGTCCTTTTCCCAAAGGAGAAAAGTTTCTTTTCCTTTTTCTCTGCTAAGGTTTGTTTGTGAAGTTAACTTAGTGAAAACAGAAAGGTTTGGGGTATTCTGAATCATTGTCTTTAACTTGGAATTAATAACTTCTCCACTCTTCTAACTGAAAATTAAAGAACTGTCTTATTTTCAAATTTGAAATAAAGGAAGCCAATTCCACTATTAGTAGGAAGCAGAGAATATAAGAAAGAGAAGGTAGGGCTACATTAATCTTAACCTTTTTCTCTCTGGATGATAGTGGTAGTTGCAGTTTATGCAAGAGAAATATCTAATAAAGTGAAAAAGGATGTTAGGTGATCAGAAAGAGTTGTAAAACGTAGCATGAGCACTCTCCCAGATAATTTTACTTGTGATGAACAATGTAGAGCAGTGTTGGTGAGGCAGTTTGGAAGTTGACTTGGATCATTTATTTATGCTTATTTTTTGAAGCAAAACATGGTAAATAATACTATATGCATATTATACTTAAAGTTATAAAGATTGATGGCTCTGTACTGATAAGATTGATAATTCTATACCATTATTTTTTGTTTCACAATAAAAATTACTTTAAAAATAAAAGTTTATGAAATGTAAGTACATAGTTTAACAAATAATTATGAGATTAATAGCTGCATAACCACCTCCACGTCAAGAAATAGAACATTGCTACCAGCACTTTCCCTCAGTTACCGTAGGTGTACATATGCCTCAACTTCTATGGTATTTGCTTTCTTTTCATGAAAAAGTTTTACTACCTGTGTGTGCTTCCTTAAATAATGTAATTTAGTTTTGTCTTGTGGTGGAATAATACTATGTTGTCTTAGTGATTTGCTTTTTGTTTGTTGTTCAGTATGACAAACAATAAAATAAACATTTTATTGTTTAGCAAGCTGTATTTTCATAGATATTCATTTGATCTAAAATTTGAAGTTTATAGACATTGAATTCTTTTATATCTATCAAATTTCTACACCTCAGTAGCATTGTTTCTCTTTTTCCACTTCTGATATTGGCTTTTTGTCCTTCTGTGTTTTTTTATTCTCATTCTTGCAATAGGATGGTCAGTTTTATTATTCATTAGTGTGGTCTGTATATGCTCATTATTTGTTAGAAATTATGATTATAGTCTACATCTTCAGTACTGCAAGAGGTGGGATAAAAATCTCATGCCATGATTGTGGATTTTTCTAGTTCCCATAGTTATGTCTATATTTGCTTTATATAATTTGAGCCTTTGTTATGTATGTAATCTTTAAATTGTGTGTTTTTTTTCTGTTACCTCAAACTGTACTTATTTTTATGTTCTAGACATCCCTCTTCAAACAGCAGTTTATTGGATTTTAATTTTTATCTATTTTGACAATCTTGTAATCTCTATTAAAACATAAATTCAGATTTGCTGTGATTGGTAATTTTTTTTTCTTTTCACTGAAGCTTTTAGTCCTTTTGTATATAATATTAAATAACTTTATATTTGGCCTTAAATCTATTACAATAACCTGTTTTTTATTTGTCCTACCTATTCCATGGTTATGTAGGGTTTTTTCCCTTGCCTTTTTAAAGATTGATTGCTTTTATCATTTCAGTTTTTTAAACTAAAGTTGTACATTTTTTGATCTTTTAGAAATTTCCCCTAAAAATTTTATTAATCATACTTATTAAAGTCTAAAATTAAAAGATAATTTTACATTTTTCTCAGACAATGCAAGAACTTTAGAACAGGTAAAACTCTTTTCCCTAGCCTTTGCACTATTGTCATAAATTGTGATTCTCTTTCTTATAATTTTACATGATGCTTTATGTATTTAATACTTAGATTTATATACATGTTTCTATGTACTACTCATATCTTCCTTGCATCTGGGATAATTTTCCTTCTGCTTGAAGTATAACTCTTAGAATTTCCTTTAGTATGTTCTGCTGGTTTCAGACTTGGTTCTTTTTGTTTATCTGAAGGTGACTGTATTTTGCTTCGTTATTGAAGATACTTTTTATAGGATATAAAGGTTTGGCAGTTTTAATGTTTTTTCTTTTGAATATTAAAGCTATAATGTTACTATTTCTTGGCTTCTGTTATTGGTTGTTGAAAATTGTGTGTCACCTCTGAGGGTAATCATTCTTTTTATTTTCCCTTTGCCTTTGGTTTTCTAAAATTTCACTATGATATAATTAGGTGTAGAATTTATTTATGTTGTTTGGGATGCCTTAAGTTTATTTACATTGCCGATCGATGTGTTTTATCAGTTTGAACAAAATCTCTCCCACCTATTCAGGGCAGCCTCTGCTCTATTTCCTTGTTTTTCTTCTTCCTGCATGCCTATTAAACCTACATTAGTCTTTCTTACTGGATCTTCCATGTTTCTTACCCTTTATGATGTATTTTTAAATATTTTTGTCTGTCATTGGTGCTTCTGTGGGTGTTTTTGTGACCTATTTTCCATTTCCCTTATTCTCTCTGTAGCTCTGTCTGATCTGCTGTTAAACCCATATGTTAGGCTCTTCATTTCAGTTACCATGTTTTCAGATAAAAATCTTTATTGAAAAGTCAAACTGCTTTTTTATTTCCTGTTTCATTTCACTTTGTCCTAATACCTCACTTGTTTAGAAAAGAACTAAGTGTTTTGATTAATGTGTTGCACAAGGACTGAGAGGTAGTGTTGATTTTTCAAATCTTTTATGTCACTTTCTATAACCTACCTACATTGTTAATGTTATCTTTTGCTTTCTAATAAACGAGTAAGTATAGTTGTTTTATAATTTCTGTCTAATATTCAGACATCTTAAGTCTTTCTAGGTCTTTTTTAAAAACTAGTTTTCACTCATGATGTCCAATTCCTTGCATATCTGATTATTCTCATGTGCTTGTCCACTTAACTGAAATTTTACTGATGATAGTCCCTTCTGATGCCTGCCAGAAGCAAAAAAATACTTATCCAAGGACTATGCTTAAGTTTCTCTGGATCCTTCCCAACTCTAGCCCTATCTCCAGCCCCAGGCAATGGGAATCTGGGCACCAGGGTTGGTTTACCTCTAGTTCACCACAGCACTGTTGCTGATCTCTTTGGGATATCAGCTTAGTATGAGAAGAGTCTCTAACTAAACTGCTTACATTATGTAGCCCCTGGACTTTGATTTCTCTTATTTCCTCCATCTTGCAGTCTCATTAAGTCGTAAGTTTGGATTTGCTGCTATTGCTAAATGGTCTTAGGACAAATACAGCTTCTGTGCTCAATTACTTTGCTGGTTCTCCTTTATCTTCAAGTTTGTCATGGTAATTTCTTAGTCTTGTTACCTCTTTGTTGTTTGATACACTATATTTTATTCAGCATTTTTGCAGTTTTCAGTGGGAATATTGGTCTGAGCAGTCTGACCTGCCATCACTGCAAACCTGAAGTCTGGAACAATATTTGCATGATCAGTCTTATCAGAAAATCTGATAAATGGAATTTGTCTTTATCCCATTTTATGTCAGTTCTGTAGAATTACTAGAATTACTGCCATATGTTCAATGCCTATAATGTGTCAGAAACTGTTCTAAACATTTTTAAAGTGGTTGTTACTCTTAACTCTGTGAGATATAGTCATGGGAAATATTATAATAGAGTGATTTAAAAAAATTTTTAATTTTAAAGATGTGGGGTACAATTCAGGGTTAAATATACAAATATTCATTATGCAGATACCCTTGTTGATGAGGTGTGTCTCCCCCTCCCCCTGCAGATTCCCACTACTGCCAATTCCCTCCCCACACCCCTGGCAATTTCCCACTACTGACAATCCTTTTCTTAGAGTATTGTGATAATTTTTCAAGGTCCACTTATAAGTGAGAACATGTTTTTTGTTTCTGTGATAGATCATTTAGTATTATAGACTCTAGTCCATCCAAGTTGCTGTGAAGTTCATAATTTTGTCCTTTTTGACTGTGTAATATTCCATTGTGTATATGTACATTTTTTTAATCCAGTCCTCTTTTGATGGGCAGCACGGTTAGTTCCATGTTTTTGCTATTGTGAACAATGCTGCAATAAACGTGCATGTGCCAGTATCTTTTTCATAGAATGATTTGAGCTCCTCCAGGTATTCCAGTAAGGGGATTGTGGGATCATGTGGAAGGTCAATTTTTAGATCTTACTTAGGAATCATCAAACTGTTTTCCACAGAGGTTGTACTAATTTACACTCCCACCAACAGCGTAGAAGTGTTCCCTTTTCCTGCATTGTCTCCAGCATCTGTTGTTTTTTGAGTTATTGATGATGGTCATCCTGGCTAGAGTTAAGTGGTGTCTCAGGTTTTAATTTGTATTTCTTTGATGACTAGTGAGACTGAGCATTTTTTCATGTATCTGTTGGCGGCTTGTATGTCTTCTTTTATGAAGTGCCTAATAGTGGGGACTCTGGAGGCATAGACCTTGGATTCATATTCTAGTTCTACCACTGGATAATTCTGTGGCCTTCACTAGTTTCTTATATTATTGTCATTTACAGTTTACAGATGAGCCAAATGCAGCTTAGATAGGTAACATGCTAGATCATGAAACTAGCCAGACTTCCAACAGTCCAGAACAGGCTGTGATCTTTCTGCTTTGCTGTCAGGCATTATTATTATTACAGTACTCAAAGAACAAAATACTATGATGTGTTAAGATAATGAAATTGATGAAAGTAGTGGAAAGAAATAAAATTTATAAAGGGAGCATCAGTTTCAGCAGTAATTCCTCAGTCACCTTCAGTGTTCTGTGTGATATTGCTAGATTCTCCTTTAACAAAATATTTGTAAGCAAGTAAGCATGGAAGCTGTGTGGTATAGTTCTCTCTCAAGAGAAACAGAGTG